CCCTGATTGCTCCACGTTGACTAGGCAGGAAAAGAGTCTTTCATGGGTCCTTTAGGTTATATCGGGATGAAATCCTGACAATGAGGTTACATTACAATGGGTTACACAGAGATGTAAGTATTCTGAGCAGTCAGCGTGAAAGCTGCACAGGTCAGTGCGGGAGGGCAGCAAGAGGGGACCTGAGCTGAGCAGATGCTGAGGTCAGAAGCGACCACCATCATCATTCAGAATGATCCTATGCGCACTTGGGTTGTGAAATTTCTTTAAGACTCTTTTCTGTTCATGCACTCTACGTGCCCTCTACTAGAGTATTTCAACGTTTACTATTCTCACAAAAAGGAAGCCACTCTTTTCTTTGATGCTGAATTTACCTGCCCTCCACCTTTTCAGATACTGCCCGAGTATGAATACTTAAGGGAAGTGATACTACTTCTTGGCGACTTCTTTGAAAGAGCAGATTTCAGGGAATTCCCAAGTGCTGGAATACCTCGCATCCAGCTCGACCCCCTGGTATCTGGTCTGCTGACAAGCTCACAGTGTGGGAGGTGAGCCTGACTTCAGGATTACAGACGTTGCCTTACATCCCGAGGTCTGATCGACAACCACCCATACCAACTTTGCGGCCCTGAAATCTCTGGTATTTCTGTACCTTCCACGAGGAGTGAGCGCTAGCCAGACCACCACGTCCTGACTCTGGTTTTCTCAGGTATACCCAGAGCCAGGAGCATCCCCAGTTCCACTGAGCATTCCCATTTTTATGTTTCCAAGGATCCACCCAGCCTCTGGTTTTGAGGGTTTTCTGGAGGTGTATTTTGTTTCGGGTTTTTTTTTGCAACATCGTCAATCTGACAGTTTGCATTATGTCTATTAAACCACAGCCTCCTAAACCCCTTCTTTGTGTCACTCTTTTCCAAGGCAATGTTCCATTCCCAATTATATTACACTGTACTTGGCTATATTAAAATAAATTCTGTTTGACTGGGGTAGAAACTCCTCACCGATTGGTACTGGTCCTGTGCGCTTCTCTCTATTTAATTATATTTTACTATTTCTTATTCTCTAAATTTCACCAGTAAAATTTCCTGTTCTGAGCCTACAGAAGGGATATAGCCTTTGTTTGCCAAATCTGCCCTTTATTTGTCACTATGAAACTTCTAGACCTAGAGTTTCTCATATTTCTGATATTTCGGTATTTGAGACAACTCATCATCTTTATTTCTATTCGCTATGGTTATTATATTTGTTCCCTTGATTTCCCTTATCAGCTGTATGTAGCTTTTACTCCCAAATATTTTTCAGTTGTTTTCATCTATCCCATCATTTATGCCTGTTGCATTCTTAGCACGATTTGCAAGGTGAATGTTCAACACTCACACACAGATTTTCTACACTGTGAACTTCTGGACTAATGGCAAGAAAAAAAATAAATGAACCCGACTCTACAATAAAATATATCACACAGTGACACAGTCCCATTTCACAAAAAGAACAGACAAATGCAAAGAGAGGCAAAGTGGCTTAATGAATAAATCCTTAAGCTGCCAAACTGGCTTCTATCTTCAGTTTGTATCAGAAGTCCAAAGGCTTGATTCATGAGAAATACAGCGTCAAAGGTTAACAGAAATATTAACACCACTCATTACAAAAAAATCAGTCCAGAACGCAGTCTCCTGGCAGAAAATGGGCTCTTTTCCAAGGAACAGACCTAAATAAACTATACAGATCTGCTGTTAGCTCCTCCTGTAATACAGCCATTTTAACAGGGTTTGCAACCCAAATACTATAGAGCTGAGGGACTGAAATTGTTAATAAAAATTAATTGAGCATAATTGGTTTCAAGGGCTCCAACTTGGAAAACTGCAAAAGCTTTCTACTGCATAAAAAGAGATTTTTAGTTTTGTATTTATTTGGTTTTAATTCCATCACACTTATACTGAAAATTACCTGGAAACTAAAGATAGCTGCTTCTACCTGCGCAAGAAGAAAACAAAAGCTAGAATAATAAAACTTGGTCCATGTGGTTAAAATAGAATTAAAAGCTTAGACAATAACCAGCTATCTAATTGTGGTGATTCTCAGTATTTTTTCTCTCAGGAACTATTTTCTGATTAGTAGCTATTCTGCATGCTGGTACAGAAACAGCAAACAGATTTAGCAGTTAATATACTCAAAAACAAAGCAAAAAGAAAAAAAAAAAGCCACAAACTCAAATATGAACACAAGAGTTTCCTGCAGACATCTTAGCAGTTCACACTGCATGCTCCACTCCATCTACTAAAACTATCAACCCGCTACGCCTCTGTACGAATAATTCACAATATATCTCATCTCAGTTCTGTCCACATAACTGAATGCAGACTGGTAACTAACTTTTATTTTTAAAGGTTATCATTAATGCAACATACTCAACGTTTCACGCTTGTTTTACGGAAAGAATGCTTCCATTCTTCTGCAAATACAACAAAATGCCTCTATCTGGCTTTTTCCAGCTATGGATTCGATTTAAATCTTACGCCTGAGCTCCATGCTGCTGTGACGACTCAGGCAGGAGGTTGGATGAAGTTTTATGCACCGTTTTAGAGCCTTGCCCCTGGGAATAACACAAAGATAACTGAATCTGAAATTTCATCTTAAAGAAGAGAACAGGTCTCTAGGCTTCTAGCCATCATGGATATTTAAGAAAATAATTAAATGCAGGTTGTGTGTAGTTTGCAAGCATCAAAACTAAAGAAATAAACCCCTTTGGTAGTGAGGAACAGAACATATGCAAATCTTTCTAGTCTTTGCCCACACAGAACTACTACTTATCATTTAGATACAAAAAATGTGTCAATTTAAGGCCCTATAATTATATTGCTATAATTCCATCCATTATCTCCAGGGTATTAGAAATAGCATTCTGTAGAAATAGCACAGCAGAAGTTCCCAGGCAGGGTTATATACATATTACTATTCCTCTACTGATGAGAGCTGAATTGGCTGTTTATGCTGAAACCTTTCTTCATGGGGCTTTGACACACGCACAGATTTCTTCTGTTGCTGCTGTCCCATAGGAGTTTGATAGCTGATACTATGATTGTTCCTCCCTCATTGAAACATTTGTCTTCTCGGGAAGAAATTCAGCTTGCCTGAAGACGAGGAAAGGCTCCGATTAACTAACACAGGAATGACGACAAGCCGCGCCATCAACCCGAAGGCAGCCGTCGCGAGTGGTCCCAGCCACCACCAGAGCAAAGCAGGGCATGGCAACAGCATAAGGCCGGGTCAAAGCGATGGAGAAGGAACACGAAGATTCGGCATGGGGATGAACTTGGATTCTCGTTCTTCAAAGCCCACTTCAATAGTCTTTAAGAAACATTTGATTGATAACTCTTACGACATGTCAAACTTCTGTTAATCGGTTCCAGTGTGAATTTTGTGCAGGAATCTCCAACCTTTTCAACTCTTACTTCACACACTGCTCAGCTTCTTGACAGTAACCACTGGCACGCAGGCTCTTATCTCACGTAACGTTCCGTCGTATCTGTTCTCTAGAGGGCAAGTTAACGCAGTCCAATGCTGCAATAACTTCGCAGCTTTCTTCAGCTATGCGGACAGTGACAATTCAGAAGAACCCATACATACCACTGCTCCCCACTGAACTCAGCAGAGGCAGAAACCCAGAGTTCCCGCTAAAGAGATAACGTAGTGGGACAGGGAAGCGAGCTCCTAAGGCAAAATCAGACCTTTGCTCAGAAGAGAGTACAAAGTCTCAGAAGAGACAGACTGCATCAGGAAATGCTCCTCTTTATCAGCATGACAAGGCAAAACAGCCATGCAAGGATTAATAGCTGCTTGCTTGTGACACAAATGACCAATATAGCTAAGGAAGAAAAAAAAGCCTTTTTTCCCCAGGAATAGAGAGAAACCCTTAAAAGTCATTAGAAGCTGTGACCAGCACGATATTAGAAAATTATTTTTATATAACTCAGTTTTTATATAGTTCTGTATTTTAAAGAATGAACAGCTCTCTTGGAGGAAGCTCAGGAATACAGATCAGGTTCTTTCTTGGGTTAACGAGAGCAACTGCTTGCATGCGTACAGTCACTTCCATTTGACCTGATGCAGTTTAGCCATGATTGTATCAAACACACGCTTTGAAGGTTAACCGAGCTGAAAGACTGAAATATCAAATGGAAAGTTTTCTTTCTGCTTAAGGAATTTACATAGTACCATCTTTCAAAACTGCATACTTTGTTCATCCAGTAGTAGTTAAACGAGATAAACATTTTTGAGCTGTCTCCCTTTTATCTTTAAACAGCACGGAGATAGTAACAGCATCATACCTGTTTCCTCTCCAAGTCTTTACTGATGAATAAACCAGGAAATCTCTCTACACTCTTCCAACTGAATATACAGTTTATTCAACCATTTAATTACCAGCTTAGTAAAACTCTCATGATAAAGGCAAACACAGACTTGGCACTCCCCCCCGTGCTGTCCCTGAAAAAAGGTTATTTTGTAAACTTTTGTACTGGTAGTATCTGCTCCAACCTCTGATGATGCCAAGTCTTTAATGCAAGCAGTAAAGACCACATGTACAGCCTGGACAGACACTGCCAGGTTAGCCGTAGCATTCTAGGGTTGAAGTAGCAGGGCATGCTGCAGAAAAACCCCAATTTATTTGAGCAAGTGACAAAAGCTGAGGTCTGGGTATGTACAAAGGTGCATGGCTTTTATTTATGCAGAGTGTGTGGAAGTTAATAAAAGCAAGAACTGTTGCAGGAAAGAGGCCGAGATGATTTTGTTCAGGCAAAGGGAGATACATTTTCGTCTACCACTGTATTTTTCTCATTTGTTTTATTTCTGAGTTTCTGGATATCAGCATGAAATAGGCAGACTTTTCATATTGGCAAACTCACATTTAAAAAGTAGATACGTAAAAGGAACCCATTTAAAAACAGCCATCATATATTTCCAAGCAGTCAAACATAGGGGTATCCTTTTAGGAGGAAACGTACCTGCTTCAGGACTTGTTTGATTACAGCTGCTAACAATGCTGTTTGGTATCACTGGAGTGGAGGATGCCTGGATTCTCGACTGAGGTGGGTTCGGATGTAATGAATTTCCTAAAGCCATTCCTGACTGACTGAGCATCCCACAGTTCCCGCTAGCCTGCATCTGATTTATTAAACCTGCAAGATGGTTGGTTGTGCCCGGGCTAGTACCGTGGACAAAGTTAGTGTTTGTGTTCTGGCAGTGCACACCTTCCCCTCGCAAGGGTAAACTCTGTGCCAGCGAGTTCTGGAGACTGCCAGAGTTCATACTGGTGTCTGCAAAATGCATCTGGTTACCAGAGCAAGGTAAAGCAGTATTTGAGCTCCCACAACTGGTGGTACTATTGCTGCTCATGTGAGAGCTTTGACAACTCATGGACTGAAGTAGCTGGGACATAGAACTGATGGGAAAGGAGCTTTGACTTTGCTTTCTTATCAAATCAGATCCAGCTTTGGAAACTCCGGAACTGTCCAACTGAGACTGTCTCAGCAAACTCAACACCGTGGTGGTCGGCTGCTTTCTTTTTCTCAGAGGATCTTTTTGCTGAGACATCAATTTATCTCTCAGTGCTGCTCGGCCACTTTGCCCTTCAGTCGTTGGAAGAAGCACATTGGCAGCAGGAGGGAACATGGTATTTAAAGTGCTATGTCCTTCGTTGTTGCCACCGCTGGCAACAGGTCCAGAATTGCTACTGCTGTTATTGTTGTTACCAGCAAGTTTATTTTGATTTGCTAGCTGTGCTTTGGCTGCTGCTGAGAGTAAACTACTTGCTGGAAAAGAGGCAGCATTGTGCTGGTTCAAGATCTGATTTAAAGGCATTCCCAGCAAACCAGGCTGACTCTTCAAGGAACCACTTCCAGCCGATGCAGTAGAAAAAACTGCATTGTTTGGAGGATTTAATACATTACTCATTCCAGCAATTAATGGGTTAGGGATGTCCTTGTATTGATTAAGTCCATCGTGCTTGGTGGAAGGGCTAGATGGCATAGATGGTCTTGGTGACCCTATTGTTGACCTTGGGGACCTGGGAGGAACTTTAATACCACTACAGGATGACTGTGGTCCTACTGGAGGCAGCAGGAAATTCCCATGATCTGATGATGTGGAAGAAGAACGTGATCTTTGGGGAGAAGCCTCGATCCTTCCAATCCCGGATCCCATCATATGAACTGGGGACGTCACTGGTGAAGGAGAGAGGGAAGTTGAAGCAGAATGCTGAACTCTTTGAACATGACTTCCATGGTTCATGTGACCAGGTTTTACAGTTGGCAAAGGAAGATTACTTGGCAAAGGGACGACAGCAGGAGGCATGCTTACATTCATCACAGGTACCTGAGAGTGGACATTTGAATGGAAAGTACTTGGGTTAATGATAACGGGATTCTGATTCACTGGTTTGCTAGGAATAGGGTCAAGTATGCCAAGCGGATCCTTTTCTGACGTTAATGGCTTTTTCTGAAGAGCACAAGAAGGCGGTGGAGGAGGTGGGGGTGGACCTTGGGGCGGTTTATGGTGAAACACTGCTCGTGGTATTTCCATACCAGTCGAAAAATTACACATGGGTTTTTTCATTACTGGGCTTTTTGTGGTCAAGGTTGGGGAAAGAGGTATATTAGTCCTTCCAGCCATTGCACAGGATGACTGTATGGGAGAACCATGTAGCATTACTGATGGTGGAGATAGAGGTGTCCTGTTCATGTGAATAGGACTAGAGTTGGGTGCTCCATGAAAATTGGGATTGTTCCTTGTGAAAACATCAGGGCTTCCAAGTGGGTCAGTCCTAGGAGAGATTGAGCCATCTCCGTATATCTGTGATCCTGATGAAGCTGGACTGGGCATCCCACCATGACTGCCACGATACGGAGACTTCTGTCCAAGTTCATTACTACCCAATCTCTGCCTAGGATAGACAGAATGAAGTTCTTGTTGCTGGCTTCCAGCCATTTCTTGCACGTAAAGCCTACCCATGGCATTAGATGCCCCTATCATCAACTTGAAAGGAGTCTTACATTCTGGCATCACAGAATTTGTAATTCCTTCATGTGATTTATTCCTCATTGATCTCGGAGTTGCCGCTCGAGTAGGAACTACTGGAGTTGCACCTGATATTAAAAACACAACAGTTACTGTTTTGAAATCCAATATCACACATTTCAGTGCAAAACTACTGTGTGTGAAAACACGCATAAAAGCTAAAAAGCCTTTTGGCAAAACTTTTGCCTCAACAGAAATAATACCGAAATCACAAAGTAGTTGCTGGACTGGTGCATGCTGCCCTACTATATAGTGCAGTTGTACAGACCTTAACTCAATATCCCATATCAAGACTGCATAAATATGAACAACTTTAAATCTTTTTCCTTCCCTTTTGTCTTTTCTTTCTAACCATCATCTCCAGCATCCTACTCCTGAATCTCCAGCATCACCACTTTGGCTACCGCTAGAAGAGCTGGCAGGAGGAGCAGGCTCTCGCTGTCGCAGGGAAAAGGAGTCTCTGGCACCATCTATTGAGTACAGGAGGAACAAAAGCCCAACAAGAGAAAAGCCCTACAGAGAAAAGGGTCCTGCCCCAAAGCTGTCCCTGATGAGGATGAATGGGGAGACATGCCATACGACTTTGGCCTGGATTTCTCTTCAGCCAAGCACTTAATTGCAAAGCCCTAAGAGACCATGGCTGCCCAAGGGAGGATGCAGCTTCTCCGACTGCTCCACATCACTCGCTGGCACCAAGGGCACTGAGTTCCCGTCCTCTGAGTTAATCTGTTCCTGGGAGCTGTCCTGTATTACTTTACCGAATTAAAGCTCTACCTGCAGCTTCTGCAACAAGCTCTGCTTGGGGTGAAGATGCTAAATTTAAGGGACTCAACCCTATATGTTGGTTTCAGGATAAAGGCCCTGGGGATATTTGCATATGCACACATGTGAACCTCTCTGTGATGGAAAAATGTACAGGAAATCTCAGTTTTGAGACTAGATCTTCCTACAAGCACAAGACCACTTTCCTTTTCTGCCCATTGATATCAATTTTATTTTAAAAGATTTCTTTTTCAATGTTTTAATTTAAGAATACTATCACAAGCAGCTCCAAGTCTGGCAGACTTTCTGCCTGTTTTGCTGCTCTGGGGATTAGTAATTCAGCTTGGAGTGGCTGGCATGCAGCCTCTGAATATGCAAACTTGAATAATGAGCTAAAGATTTCATGTTCAAATGAATTCAGAGGTGCCTTTAAATTCTTCTACTCACAAGAACCCAATTCTCTTCTTCCCTTCAGCCTGGCACAGGAGACAGACAGCACTGACAATCCTGCCTTCATCCTATTTCCTCAACCAGCTACCTCATGACAGAAACAAACATATTACCTTTCCCAAAATACAACCAAAGTCTCATTTAGGGGACAAATCTCAAGACTGAGCTGCAAAACAAAATATGTATGAGAACAGTCAGTTGTGGCTGCCCCTGGCTCCCTGGCAGTGTTCAAGGCCAGGTTGGATGGGGCTTTGGGCAACCTGGGCTAGTGGAGGGTGTCCCTGCCCATGGCAGGGGGTGGCACTGGATGGGCTGGGAGGTCCCTTCCAACCCAAACCATTCTACAGTTTTATGAACCCTTACCTTGAATGCTGGACCTAAGCAAATAGTCAAATATAACTATGCACAAATGAAATTTCATTTACAAAGGCAATTTATTGGGAAATTTTCTTCTTTGCTTAGTGGACAAAATTCTGATCAACAGAGAAGGTTAAGACCCCCTAAGTTTGATTGCATCTTTAATATTTGGTTGGTTTCACCTCCTTCATTTTGCTAATTTTTTGAAAACAGAAATGTAATTTAAGTACTACTAATAAAGAATTAAAAAAATAAGGAAAACGCATAGTAATTTGGGAAATAGCACTATTTGTTTTAAAAACATACTACATTGCAAAAAAACAATTTAAAGCTTTAAAATAATACATAGCAATTTGAAAGTGCAAGAGCACATCAGTATCTTAGCATTGTCTACTTATTTGAAATTTTCCACTTGGAAGTCAAGCTGCAGAGGGATTAGCAATTCGCCAGCTATTATTACAGCAATATAGGGGTGCAAGAGCTCTCTCAGATTATCGAGGGCCATTTCCCAGAAGTTGCATGCATCACACAATATATAGCCATAAATTTACTGAGCTCTGTCTTAAAAGTAACTTCTCTCCTTTGCCCTAACCATTTGGATTTGTAAGACTACTTCAGAACCTTTTCTTGCAATCCCTAGAAAGTACCTAATTTTCAGTTTAAGTTTCTATGCAACTCTGGTTTTGCAGCTGTTTCTTTCGGTGCTAACTTTGTCCTTTAGCTTCGGTAGCTTTATTTTCTGGTGCCAATCCTGCTGATGTCTTTATCGACAGTGATTGTACCTCCTTTCAGCCACCATTTTGCTAGGTTGAACAAGCTAAACACTTTTAGATGACTTTCATAAAATAGGTTTTGCAGTTCACTAAGAGAAAAACCTCTGCTCTATTTCAGCTTGAGTGCCGCTAGCGAGAATAGGGGAGCAGGAAGGCAGTAAACATGCAACAACGGCATCTGTACTTCTCTCTCTTAGAGTCACATTGATCTGCACCATACTGCCATCTGCTACTGCTCACAGGCATCTTTGATCAGCTACTATATCTAGGTCTTCTTTCTCAATAATTTACAGCTAATAGCTTTTTTTCACTGGTCCCCAGGTGAATAACCTTACAATTAACAGGATTTGTTGCTATATCTTTTCTTTCACTCCAGGTCTCAATGATCCCCCAGTTTTTCAACATGTTTTGATCTTCTCTTGTTTTGATAATACCTGTCAACTTCATCCATCAACAAATTACCTCATTTTCTCTTGATACGGATAATTAAAATGCTAAACCAGGTTGGTCCCCAAAAATAATCCTTGAGAAATTACAGTGGAGATCTTCTCTTGTTGTATATTCTGCCTTGCAATACAATTTCCCATTTAGCCAAGTACTCAGCCACATTCTAATCCCTTTATAATCACTTTATTCTGCTTCTCTAATTTCCCATGTGACAGAATATCAGACATATTACTACAGTTCCAAAAGATGAGAGCTATTTTCTTTGTCTAGAACAATCTGATATCCTTTCCAAGACAATCATGCTCTAAGTCTGGGATGACCTGCTTTTTAGACTCATTTTCTATCTACCTACATCTCTCTAATTACTACCTCCATTTTTTTCCTTGACTCTGTTTACTATTGTACTCGTAGATATACAAGGCTTTTGGGGGTGTTTTTGTATAGTAATGATATATATTTAAAATTAGGTCATTAAATGATTCTGCATGATTTTACTCACTTGTTCCACCACCAGGACTAGTTAGAACTAGTGAAGGATGTGGTGCTTCCATGCTTTTATGAAGTGTAGCCACAGCAATAATTTTCCTTTTATGTATGCATAGTTTGGTGACATCTTCGTCCGCTTTAACATCTTCAGCAGTTCTCTGCTTCACAGCAGCTCCAGGATCAAAATTAAAGACCTGAGAGTAAAAATTCCAACATTTAAAATAATGATTATAGGCAGCCAATTCACCAAGTACTCCTAAACCAGAAATTTTACATAGAATTAAATTTGCCTCTGTTCCTTAGAGCTATCTGACTCCTCCCACATTGCCCAAGGAATAACCTTTACAGTATGTTTCCAAATTATAAATAGTGAATATATTTCTAATAAGTAAACAGCCATGGAAGTTGTGATCTAGCGAGAGAAGTTTAACACCCCTCAGTATAAAGGGAAGGAAGAAAAAAGGAAAAAGGACCATGTGTGTTTGAGATTGCTTTCTGATTAAGAAGAAAAGTTTACACTTTGTGTATAGATGATAAAATCGTGAAGCTGATACTGAAGCTATCACGTATGTCAGTGTCTTGTTTGGGTTCTCACATGTTAATGTGATGCTGTTGATGGTAGGTTTCCAATTTAATAGGGAAATGTTGAAACACCGTAAAAACCGAGTCAGATCTTTTCCAGGAGGGGAGAAGGCAGAAGGGATATTTATTTTGTATTTTATGGTAAATCTTTGGGTATATACCATTTATTTTCTATATATGATCTGAACAGAGATTAAGTCGTGGCCGAGCACATCAGCTGACATAACTGATAAGGATTATACCACAGAGATCCCAAATGATGCTTTTCTTTACCTTGGGAAGAACAAGAGGACATTCTAGGCCACACTTGCATGTTCCATCAGTCAGCAAGTAAGTCTTCACCTGCTCCAAGCAGGATAATAAAGACCCACTGGGACTGTAAAGCAACAGAAAAGATGAATACAAGCTATTTGATAGGTCATCACTTCAATCTACCATGCCAGCAGCTCACACAGAGAGTGTGTAAAATAACATAGCTAAGTTTTCATATTTTGTTTCATAGTACTTCTTGCTTTTAGTCAAGAACTGAGATGATACTTATCAAAAACAATCAAAAAACTCATTTTAAAGGAGGATTTTTGCTACAGAAAAACAAACACAGCAAGTGCAGAGAAAAGAAAATAACTGAGATTACTGATATTTACTATTCACATTACAGTCCTGCTTGAAAGCCTTAAGTACTGCCTAACAACGCTAAGATTATTTTGCTCCCTCCTCTCTCCTCTAAAGTGTAACACACAGGCAGAGTGCAGTCCCTGCGGACCTCCGCCCCTTCCATCACATCACATCACAGCGTTCCATGCAGGCATGATAGTAAAATGTACATTTTAGGACTGGGACCTAATTTAAAAAGAAAAAAACCCACAGAAGTGTTTTTCAAGAAGTACAAGAAAACCCATACAGAAAAGGAGGAACAGTAACGAAACTGTTGAGGCTGGGTCTCTTAGTTACCTAAACAATTTGGTTTCATCCAGCTAAAATATCAACCTTCTCACTGAAAGTGAGAAATATTACACCAAGAAGCCAGTCCAGTGAGTTTCTGATAAACTGCACTCGGATTTCTCTAACTCCCACCAGAAAATCATTATCTCCATATCCAAAAATAGGACATTGGAAATTCTGTTACGGCAAAATCACTAATTCATAAAATGAAAAAAGTTCTCATGTCACAAGCGTCTGCCTTCCAGATTGCTCTTTATTACTTAGCCATCTAAACTGTTTATCAGGGAAAGAATACAATAATTTATGAGGACTGGCTAAAACACTGGTTCTTAATGGCAGCTGTAAATAGCCCTTACTTTAACAAAAACAACTTAAGTGGAATATTTAACAAAAACAACTTACATGGAATAGTTTGGATCATGAAAACAGCCAAGAGTCAAAATTCCAAACTATGATGAACTTTCATACTTAAAACTCAATGTATAAACACCTAATTCTGCACAAGAACTAAGTCACATATAAAGCAACATCTGCAAGTGATATTTAAAGTTACGCTGACGGTTTAAATAAGTAATTTATTTGCCAGACTTGCCCTGAAATAGTTATTTTAGAGAGAACTGCCTGGTCGAATATGCGTAACAGTGACAGTTCTGAGGGTAAGCAAGATAAAAGAGCAATCTAAAAATAATGGTACAGGTATGAAGTGATAGATAGGTCAGAAAGTCAAACCTTCCCTGTCTTAAATTGAAATACTTGGGGAGCAGGGAAAACGGCTCTTCAATTCTATTTATTTATTTATTTATTTACATTTCAGCTAGAGGCTGGTTAAACCACAATGCTACCATTACCACATTTTAACTCGGCGAGTATCACTCGTTCTCTACTTTGGCTCTGCATCTCCAGTGCCGGCCCATCGCTTTGGACTTTCCCAACCTATCCTGACTACAGAGGAGTGATTGCTCACACCAGGCAAGGTCCACACTTGAAGATGTAACAGCTTCCCACAGGAGAAACTCAGATTGGCATGTGCTCCACACTACCTCATCTATGCGCAAAATCTCTACGGACGCTGTGACGCTTAAAAGCTAGCGTTAAATGGCATCCGTGGGAACATGCTCTGGAGTCAGGATGCTATTTTATTTGCATTGGTAAAAAACACCTACTGAGCAGCAAGAGTAAAGCTATACCATCAGAGTTCATTTTTTGTCCTATTTCTAGAATGAAGCAATTTTAGATAACCTTCCTTGGCATACAGTTTGCCTGGGAAATCTGGGCACGCGTATCCAGTTCAGGTTCAAGGAGATACTGGAGCCTGGAAACACCAGTCCTGTAAGGCACACACATACTGCACCGACGATGAGTGGGTGTAGAGTTGGGTCTGGAAGCTCATTATTAAAGAGCTTTTCTCAGTTTATTCTACTGATGACTATTCATGAACAGTGAGCTCAAGAGGAGATTTAGGTCCTACTTTAAGGCAGCAGGACTGTTTTACTTCGAAAAGCACTGAGACTCAACTCAGTGCTTTTACCAGGTAATAAAAACTAGTTAATTAATGGATTTAATCCAAAGCAACTGTTGACAGTTGATAGAAAAGCATGCGTGCTTTATAAAGAAGCACAAATACAATGAGTCCTTATTCAGCTGGGATCATCTATTCTAGTTAAATCCTGTCAGATCTTAATATATACACTAATTTTCCCTTGGATAGCTTTTGAGTCAATATTGTTTGACCTTTCATTCTCTCAATAAATGCTGTGTGTATTTTCAGGGTGGTTGCTCCTTCAGAAGGGCAGTGCAGCACTAGAGCGGGTTACCCACACAGGCTGCGGAAACTCAATCCTTGAAGACGGTCCTGGGGAAACCAAGGGCTGACCTGACTGAGAGCTGCGGATGCTCCACGTCAGGCAGGAGGCTGGACTATTTGACTTCTGTTCTTCCCAACCAACATGTTCTACCCCATGCCTTTCCTCCAAATAAGAATGTAAGAGCCGTGGATCATACCAAGTGTGTTGTCTAGCCTTCCCTTTCATTGGAACAGCTTAGGGAAGGCAATTAGAAAATTAACCATTGGATTAAAGAGAAAAAAAATACATGTGCAAAATTTGAGGGTAGAAATAATACTAGCCTCCCCAAGCTGAAAAAGGCAACTGGTCAAGTTGATTAATAGGGGCAACTAGAATAAAACCAGTGTTTTGCATAAGGCAATTCAGAACAGAAATATTAAGAAAGTCCCTCTGACCAAAGAGAACATATATAAAAAGAAGATAGAGAAGCAAATAACTGTCAGAATTATACCAACATTTACTAGTTTATAAACATCAAAGACACATGCTTGAAGCAGCAGCACAAACTTCGTGGCCTGCTTCTTACAGCCGTACAAAATGAAGTTCAAAAGCAGGTAAGATCATCATGTACATGAAAATGCCAAAGCATTATATGTTCTGATGCCTGGATACAGAGATGATAGGGAAAAAACCCCAACCACCCACAACTTTTTCTTTGTCATTGATTTTTAACTAAGGCAGAGGCCGAGTAAATTATAGCTTTAATGAGAGATACAAGGGGAAGGCGATTTATCTTTGACATGCGTATCGCTGACATGGATTTTGTTTGATTCTGTTAATTGAGAATACAAACAAGAAATCCTGGAATGCATTTGATCTTTTATGGTAGTTTAGTGTAAAATTGGAGTATGCTTTGACTCATTAAAGAATTTTGTATTGGTAATACATAAAATGTTGTGAAGAAGTGGTTATTTTAATCACAGAATAGTGGAATGAGATTAAGCAAGTAACAGACTGATAATCATTTAGACTTCTGTGATGTAAGACTGATGTACCCATATTTTGTTAAAGCTAACTTTGATTTTTTTACCAATAACATTTAATTTGTAGTTTGTTTGTCTGAACACATTCTTTTAATAGTAATTTCAATAGATTTCTTTGTGACTGTTCCAGGGTGAAGCAAAAAAATCCAATAAATGAACAAAATAAACAAATAAAATACCTAAAATTTTGCATTTAGGCTTGAGTTCCTGTTTTTTCCTACATGAGAAACGTGAGGAATCCATAGAAGTAAATCTTGCTGGAGAACATCAGTGATATTGAACATAGAACCTTCCTAGGGCATACAAAACTTGATGTTTTCTGCAGCTATTAAGTAATTATATCACTTAAATTTCCTTTCAAAAGAGAGTAAGTAAAACACAAAAGTATAATGGAGATTTGAAACACAAACCCAGAAAAGATTTAGGGAAGAGGAGCTACACAACATCAGAATAAAGCTGCATGGCGCTGCATGAGCTGAGCTGAAGGCTTGTTGCTGACAGAAGCAGAAAGTCCCACTCTACCTTACCTGCCCGGAACCGTCTGCGTGCCTGATCACTGCTTTGGATTCCACCAGCAAAGGCTCCTATGAAAAGCCCCTGCTGGTGCAAGGAAAAGGCAATGCCTACGCATCCGGGAGTAGGCAAAAGACAGCAGAGATTTCTCACCATCTCAGGTGTGGCATATAATTAAATCTCGTTTGTTTCATTGCAAAAGGTTTGAATAATAAAGACATTAAGTAAGGTAAAATCTGCTACTGCTCAGCTTTAAAATCCATATGACAATAATAAGTAATAAAGAACTATTCATGCCTAAAGCAAAATGTATAGTAAGGACTATAAAATTTTCAAGACCAAGCAATATTAGATTTGAGAGTACGTTAAGGGCATGCAAACCGTACAACTGACTTAAGTGAACTCCACTGATATCAGCAGAAAAAATGATCTTGCACTTCCAAAAGACAAAGACCTTGAAGTTTTTGAGTAAAAAAGATTAGCTGAGTCACTAATTTACCACGTGGTCCGGCAAAACTACAAGGAAAACAAACCCAGTGACCACCTCAGGTATCTTACCTGATATACAGCACTCCACTTTGGTCCACCCGTCGCTGCCAACCAACGGGAACTTGCACTGCTGGTGGCCCTCCATCCGTGTCCCCTCCGTCACACTCCTTTCCACCATTCATTTTTCTGTTTCTGTTTATGAGTCTTCAAAGATATCAACAGTAAGATGATATCCTTTTACTACATGTCATCATGGCCTCCCAAAGAAGGCCATTCAGTACACTTTTCCCCAAATTGTACAAAGTGCATTGGGAGGCTCCAGCTCAGTTTGAAACCAAGTCCTTAAAAGTGGCCATTTTTGTTAATGAGTCAGTTTCCCATTATAATCCACATTAAATATGCAATGTTTAACTCCTTATATATTCATAAGGATGAACTATATAGATAAAAATTAGTGCTTCCAACTTGGGAAAATCATAATTCACCAATCCTTTGTTACCTGTCAGAAAGGAGAATGGGGAAAAGGAGAATTTCTAGTTCAACAGCATGGCTCCAAGCTTGATGACTGTCTAAGATAACTCGTATTTTGTGAAAGCTCGTCTCATTTTTATAAATATGAGTCAGATCTAATACCTCCAGGTATTATACCCTTTATATGCCACATTCTTTTTGTTTTCTTTTTATCTTCCGTTCATTATCCAAGTTGTCTTCTTGAGTTTCTTTCATGACTCCCTGGCTCCAATAAAACAGCCTGAAAAATACAGACATAGAAAACACATGAGCCATTTTCTGAAATCTTCCAGCACAGTTCAGTAAGTCATGAAGATGTATACGGCTACATCCATTTAAAGAGCTTAGAATCAACAATTTAAATGTCAATGGAACCATCAAAATAAGGCTTAGGGTAAATATAATCCTGCTAGTATATTCTATTTATATGTGGATGCAACGGAGCTACATCTTGCAAGCTACGAGAGTATAACTGTTATGAAACAGTTAATGTACAGTTTGGGTGAAGTAAAGGATGTATCTTTTAAGTGAATAGTTTCACCTATGCTTCTGATGACTAGCTCAATTAATGCCCTTTGAAAATTGTTTATAGAACTGAATGAACCAAATGTGAAGAAAGCTGCTTCTAGGGTTGATAATATCCATAAAAATGGAAACCCCCTGCATTTAGACTAACTTAAAAAATAATCATCTTACAAAAAAAAGTGTAATAAAAAGAGAAAAGCCAGCATCAATGCACTGATCTCAGAATACCTATGAAACAATTTGAGTATCATAAGTAATAATTCCCCCGTATGATTATACTGCATGAGCAAATCTTCATGAAAGAAGTTCAGAATGAGGTAAACTGTGTTATTTCCCCAAAATAGTTTTTCCAAGTTGATCAGGTGAGACTTAACTCGTGAGATTGGATGTTTTATTAAGGTGAGACAAACATGGAATATGTGATTCAAATAATAAATACGTCAGAAAAAACAACAATCCTAGAACTCACATGTAAGACAGCATCGGTGACTACTGTAGTAACAATGCTGACAGGTTTTATTTGGAATGACATGTCAATTCGGCCTTATTCCTAATACTAATGTTATGCTAACATTTTAAAACCTAGTAAATGTTACCATAGACCTGACTCATTTTAATAAGAAAAGTTCTTTTGAGATAGAAGTGGAACATAAGGACTTAGGATCCTACAACATTTCTGCAACAACAGTACCAACAACACATTACCTCTATATTTAACAGCAACAACGGCGCCTTCCTTCAAGACCACTAAAGGAAGATTACAGAGGCATAAATATAGTCCTTGAAAATATTCCCTTAAGTACACTTATGCAGTACATTTTCTTTAGATGTGCTACCTATAAATGTAAAGTTCAAAATGCTACATAAAGAAAAAAACACACTCGTAGTATTTACAAGAAGGATGTGGACTTAGAAAGGAGCTGGTTGGCCATCTGCCCTTGACTAAGGTGCTGAAATCTAAGGAAAATCGGCCAAGGACTGCGATTTTCTGTGGGACGAAGCCTTCTCGCATAGCCTAGTACTGTTTTGCAGGAATCTGTTTCAACTTTCCACACTCTGGAGCACTCCAATAGGATGTAATCCCTGGCCGGTCAAAATCGGGGAAGGGAAGAGGAGCCCAAGGGTAGAGTGAATGTCACATGGAACACCTTGCCATCTCTCATATGAAAACAATCTATCCTTTAATCTTTAAATCTGGTAAATAGGAATAGAATTTGGAGAACACTTCTCTCAGGTTTTCCGTTTAGAATGTTTGGTGTTTGATTGGTTTTATCCTGATTAAGGCAGCAGCAGATGATGCTTCATCAAAACCGAGTCAGAATTTACCTTCATGTTTCAGCATTCTTGCTGAATGCTGCATTGGCAGTTTTATTACAGGTCCTGTGTAAGGCTAAAACAGGTAAATAGTTCCCCTATTATTTTTAATGAGAATTAACTTTCCGTAATACAGTAAAATCGGAATCAGAAAATACATATTTAAAATACTGGAAGCACATAGCGCAGGGAAGATTGCTCATCTCTTAGCGCAGCCTTGCTGTGGCTCATGCTGCTATTTAGGGCAATTGCACTGGATCCATTACAGGAAAATAATAGCCATCAATTTCTTTTTTGCACAAGCAGCAAGAGACACTTTGAAGTAACCTTATATTTCTACTGGTTCTGCAATGCCCTGCCTCAGCTAACGTCCCATTCCACCACCACCGTAATACTTATCATCATCTAATCAGATAAACCATTTTTCTGTACTGCACATAGCTTGAAATAGTACCATGAGAAGCCAAGGAATTCACGTAACTGCTTCGTCTGTGGAAAATATTTAAATATTTTAATGCAGTACAGTGAATTGGAATAAAATGGCTGCTTCAATCATATACCTTCAGTCAAAGTTTATTATTTATATGACTTTTTCTTGAGAAGTGGTAGAGACTAAAGGATTGTAAACTAACTCAAGGATTTGAGTGGTGTAACAAAAATGAATCAGAGCACAGGTATGATGATCTGTTTTCCATTTTACCCCAGTTACAAAAATACTTCAAACTCCCTGGAAGCTTCTTAGTACATGTCTAATCAGTGTGTAACTAGCCATGGAGAAGTACACAGCTAATCAGTGTGTAACTAGCCATGTTTTATAGGAAACCACTCACGCAAGTGAGATTTTTTTCACTAAACCCCAGCACAGTTCTGTGTGGATTTCCACAAACTGCAGGCAATAAAATACCAAGTACCTATCGTAACCATTGCACTCTTCTATTAGGCCTGAATGGCAGAAGTAAGAGGTTGTCATTGATGTTTTGGTATAGAAATCCTTCACTAAACTCCACGTGCAGAGTTGCTATGCGTTATTTTATTGAGCTGCATAACACCATTGAAAAGTTAAGCATAGTTCAGGTCTCTCCAAGGAGAGTTAAACGTCTCAAATCTGGTTTAAACAAAGGACACCCTTTGCATTTTCCCAGTAACTGGTTATCAGCCGAAGAAAGAAAACGGAGCTAAGGAAGATAGTAGTGAAAAAGAGGATGAGAGTCACTTAAACCAGGCTGGGTCTGGCTCTTTTTCACCCTACCACTGGCATAGGCTGATTTTATAACACATTTTATAGGATAAGGCAGCCTAGACGAGAAGCTGCAAGTTTAAGGGGACAACTGGAGGGAATAATGGCACTGCTCTATCAGGTCCGGTAAACTGTTCTGTGATTGAAAACAAGACATTTAAATCCCGGTAGGGATCAGCCTGACCGTGAATGCTCTGACATACAGAGCATCCCTATGACTACTCAAACCTCTACATTTCTTACCAGTCCAGAATCTCCCAACTGGATCGCAGAAAAATCCCGTCTCTTTTGATGTACCATTCCCCCTTCTCCATCACAGTATTCTGTCTGAAGTACTTTGGACTGGGATAGAAAATACTTGGATTTTGGAGCAAATCCAAAGTATTTTGGACACTGGATTCTATCCAAAGGCCTGATTTTCATCAACCCATGTAATAAATACCTCTTCTCTGTAATCTCATAACAACTCCAGACAACTCATGTTATCTCACCACGAGTAACACAACTTTCCACATCTAAATCAACTACTTCTTTTTTCTGTGCGCCAAGACATGCCGTTTAGATTTGTTTTGCAATCCAGTTTCATTACAATATGCTTAAAAATATTTCATTGGAGAACTATGCAAAACTACACTGAATTGTTTCCCCCCTTTACACCTCAAACTCTGGAAAATTTCTCCTTAATTTTCATGTGCTGAAAGTATGTTTTCAATTTTTAATGCAACTGTCTCACTTTTTGAAATGCTGCATTTTAGGAAGCCTCTTTGCACACTGAGCTGTTAACGTTTACTTTAACAATTTTTTAGTCAAGTGGTGAAATAAAAAACTTGGCACAAAGTAAAAAGAAATTCAAATTAGATCCTAATACTCTGGATTCAGATCTATCACATATGATATAAATACCAATATAACATTTATTTTATTAATAAGTGGACATAAAGCCAGTTAAGACAAATTTCGACAGTCTAATATTGCAAAGGTGCTCCATTACTTTTTTCTTACATGAACTTTTAAGTGTGCCCAACAATTCCATGTATCACAAAGGCTACTTAGAGGTCTACAATCAATGACTGCCTCCCTGATGCACAAAACCCAGCGCTTACTTACGGAATGACCAGATTTTGGGTATAAAGTTTTGCAAACACTTAGGACGTACACGAAGCACTGCTTATAGACGCAGTCTCACTTCCCAGGCTTTCCTTTCGATTTCAGAAAAACCCTACAAAATACATTTTGAAATAGAAATGCCCTCAAAAAACAGTCTTGGGGTTTTAGAACTAACAGGAAGTCTTAGCTTCTTAAAAAGCATTATTTTCAAATCATGCAGAATTAAAATGAGTTTTTATTTAGTTATCACTTGCACATTATTAATCTGTTTAAGTCTATCAAAGCAATTAGTTAAGATTCTCCTGTATCATCTAATTAGATACAAATGTTGCATCACTTTTTGGGAATGCTTTTCCATTTTGAAAAGAAGCATTCTCTTGACTAATTAGATTGGTATTGAATACTTTATGAAGCCCTATTTTTAGGCAAGTGATTCAACAAACAACTGTGCCTGAAGTATAAAGGAAACCTTTCTTCCTTCAATCTTAT